GTGGATGTGTGAATATTAAAATAGTAACATATTAATGAAAGTAACATTTGTGCTTTAGTAACCCATTGCACACAAAGCAATAGAATGATTATATATTTACATCATTCATGCTCATATTCAAGATAATTCTAGCAGTTCTATTTTGCAGTTTTTGAAGTTGTCTTGATTGTGTTTCACCAAACACATAGCTGCACCAGAATTATATAGCCTGCTCAAGAGTATAAAGTTGCATTTTCGCAGCTGCTTCCGGGTCTACAATTGCATATCCAGGGTTCATAGTCTCCAAGACCAAAAAAATTCAAACATTTTTTCTGCCTATTTTCAACAACCTTTGAGAGCAATCAGCTGTCGGTAAATTGCGAGTGTAAGCACCAATTTTACCCAGTAATTAGTCCCGTCACATCACATCCTAAAATATGCCTTTTCATCAACATTTGTCAAAATCTTGCTTCAATCTATTTTATTAGCTAGGAAATCGTAATACTGACTTTTAATTTAAAGACTTTCTTCACTTTTTCACAAAATTCAAAGACTTTTCAAAGACCTGCACGCCCCAAGCTGAGCCTGGGTACGAGGTTGAAAGACTGACTTGCATTCAAATTTTAAAGACTTTCAAGGATTTCCAAGACTGCTACAATTTTCATCCGAAAACTACATCTATTTTATTTAACAAAAATCTTTAAAATTATTTTTCAAAAAATCTAACCTGTATCTTAAGATCTTTCTCTGCCAACTGTTCCTTTAAGTTTTCAACTTGCTCCTGAAAACCTGACAACGAGCTGGAATAATCTGACTCATGACCATTGGCTGAACTGCTTTGGTTTTGTCGTAATTTTTGAAGCTCATTCTAAAAATAAAAAGTTTTAACCCTCCAAATGACAGCACCCAATATAAACTATTACTAGTAAATAAGAGATCCGAGAATTACTCATTTACAATGAACTGGATATAGCCTGCGAACAGGCTCTCAAGCTGAATTGAGAGCCTGCGTCGATGACTAATGAATTTGAATATCTGCCCCGTAACGTTCGTTTTTCCAAATATGGAATGTCTATCCTTATATGGTGTTGTTTGGAATGTCTATCCAACCTTATATGTCGTGCAAACTAAATTTAGACCGTGCAAACTAAATTTAGACTGTACAGTTTATACTGTTTTTCGAAATATAAGATAAGCAAAAGTTCAAATGTTTTAAATACTGTTTTCTCAAAACAGAACATTTTGTACTTCGAGGTATTCCTTTAGACGACCAAGATCAATTTGATCAGTTAATGTGTTTTTTTATGCATAGTGCTTCAGCAGTTGACATATATAGAACTCAGCGGAAACATATAAATCATAGCATCTGACCAATGAGAATTTCACGTCATGATTTGAGACGCAGATATTCAAATTCATTAATCATCAATGCAGGCTCTCAATTCAGCTTGAGAGCCTGTTTGCAGGCTAAACTGGATACAGACACGATTACATAGTATCATATGCTCAGCCTTATTAGACAGATTAGGGAGCTTTAGATTTGACTACGAGTACGACTATGAGATTTGATCGCGTGCAAGGAAATTAACATAGTCGTTGTCGTTTCCATTCAAATGTTGCTTTTATAACAGTAAACCAATGACGAGAGAAAAAAGTTTCATAAACTAAATCTCCTGCAAACTAAAATCCCCTACAAAATGTGTAAATAAGTCATAACATTAAAAACAAGGCAAATATTTAGTACCTACATAGACGGATTTTCATATTTTTTACTGGGGTGGTGCCAGAAATTTTAGAGAGCCATGAGCAGGTGACTGAAGCAACACAAAGTGTCACCAATCCCCAGTAAGGTCTATACTCTAGGGGTGGAGCACTAGAGCCACAAGGGGGAGTCTAGAGAGCAGAAAACAAAGTATCCCAGGAAAAATTTGAGCTTCGAAAAAAAGTTTTTTGGAATTGTCATATCAATGGATTTGGCATGTCTGATTGTCTGTTGAGACTTGAGAGAGTTAAAGTTAAATGAACCTGTAAAAGTGTAAATCCAATAGGCCAATACACAATATGCTTTTACTTTTATAAAGTCATTGACATTGTTTCGTTTGAATCCGAGTACAATTTATGATGCAGCTCCGATGTAAATAATATTTGGGGTGTTAAGATTAAATCTTGGCAAGTCTATTTCCTAAAAGAATTAAAAACTAAAAATAATGTTAGTAAAAATTCCAAACGTTCCTTGCAAACAAGCTATTTGCATGACAAAACTTTACAATTGCTCCAATATACCAGTGAATGCAAGCGAGGAGCAATTCGTTTCAAAGTATTGCACTGTCTTTTTCTATTTGAGTGTACTCCTACGTTTATGTTGTATCATCAACACTCTGCACGTTGGAGTGGACTATTTAATTATTATGCCGAATATTGGGGGGGGGGGATTGAAATTTTTTTTGGATGGGTGGACATTTTGTTTGGGGGGGGGGTTATAGTTAATATTGGGGGGGGTCGCAACCCCCTGCAGCCCCCACAAAATCCGTCTATGCTATATAAATGCTACAAATTATTTTTGGAAAACAAAAAAAGCCAACTTTCTTTGATTTTTTTGGAAAGTTGTCATGAGGACTACGAGATTCCTCCACAATTTCGTACTCAGATGGGCGACAGCTACGACTTTTTCGCATCAGTACGGGATGGCGTAAGCATACAGCATTCGTTTAGCTTGATGAATCTCGTACTCATAGTCAAATCTAAAGCTTCCTAATTAGATGGAGGACGCGAACGTCAAAGACAACACGAAAATGGCATGTTGTGCCCATGTATGGATATGTATGCATTTTCACGTTGTCTTTAACGTTCTTGATCTAAATCTGTCTTTTATGTCTTAGAGGTACACAAGCAAATTTTTACGCTCCTGTAACACAACATTTTGAATTTGTGTGTAGGCAAACATGTTAAATTCTATAAACTATCATTAATTTTAAATTTAATCAGAAATAACTGAAGTTTTTTTACATGCAAATATCTGTATCTTTATTATTCTATTTTGATCGTTTCAGGAAACTATATTTTAAATACAAGTTTTACATTTAAAATCATCTGGCATTAGACAGAGTAAATAATATTATCTATTACAACTCTATGCTTTCATAAATGTGTCACCTATGACAAAATAAAATGCTCTAAATCTGAGGCTGCATGGCTGAATACCTTTTGAAAGGGTGTACTTGACCAAACTGAAATATAAAGTGTGTATGCAGGACTTGTCCGGGGTATAGAGTATAGACACAAACTTTGGCATACATATGGCGTACATCTGAACATTCACATAGTTTAGTAATTGTTCAAAGTTCATAAATTTGGACCAAACAGGTTTTGAAGTGTCTATACAGCTGGCAGCCGGCTATTTAGCAAACTGTCAGCTATAAATTATTAGTATACGCTACCACAAACAAAAGTTTTTATAAACTAGCTCAAACAAAAGTTTTTATACTATATGTACCTGCTGTCACTATATAGCACGCAGTTTACTAAATAGCCGGCTGAATAGACATTTCGTACAGGTTTATACTAAAAAGGGCAATTTGGAACTTTTACACATTTATATTTCCAAAATTGGGATATATTTACATGTGTTTGAATCGATGTCTGGCATGCAAAACTTTCCTGGCTGGGTATTTGACCTTGCCCACTTGCTTAATATACATGTACAATGTTTTAATTTAATAAACAAACATTCAGCATGGCCTTATTTATAACTCCAATATTCTACATTTTAGAAAAATAAATTTCTTATAAACTTCTTGAAAATTATTTATCCATTCTAGAATATTCAAATTATAATTCTACCACGAATGCAATCATAAAATGACCAAGGTCGCAAATGGCAAATAAAAACAAACCAAAACATACCTCTTTTTCACGTAGAACCTTCTTAAATTCACGATTTATATCCTTATTCCTGCTTTCTGCCTCACTCAGAGCACTCTGTAAGTTTTCTATGGTAGCTTTGGCATTCCCCTGGGAAAATATACACACAAACGTCAGCACAAGTCTTGTTGAACTGAACAAGCAACAATATCAACACGGTAAAACCAAGCTTGAAATATAGACAAAAATACGTACTATTTCACCCGAATTCTTTTCTTCTTCAACACCAGAAGTATCCAACTTATCTTGCACAAATTCAGACAGTCTGCCCCACATATTTCTGGTTTAAAAACAAATAAAATCAGAAAATATTTTAGCCATTTGAAAAGGAGGCCATTTTAGAACACGCGCATATCGCGAGAAAGCCACGTATGCACGAAAAAGAGATCTCAAAAATCATAAACACAACTGGAGTATCAACCGTCATTGGCGCAAACGATGAACACCAGCGTATTTTGACCTCATAAATACAACTGGAGTGCAAACCGTCGTTTGCATCAAACGATGAACACCCGCTTATTTTGACCTCATAAATAGCACTGGGGTGTAAACCGTCATTTGCATCAAACGATGAACAGTCGCAGATTTTGACCTTAAAATTTAACTAGAGTGCCAACTGAAAGGACTACTTATCCACATGGAAATTTTTGTATTCAAATAATCTTATCCTGATCTCACCCTGTAGATATTCTATGTTGCTCCAATGAAGTCCTGAATCATGTCTTCATTTAAATCCATTCTTCATTTTCTAGAACCAAAAATAAATGTTGATGTCGCTTGTTTTTGGGCCAGTTGCTCCTTGTTGGCCATTGGCCACTCTCTTTATATGAAAAAACAAGTTTTAGGGTTGTTAGTTTTGTAACGCACAAACTTAAATAATTGCTTGTTTGTAACAAGTCCAAAAGCAGTCATCAAGCTTACGCTTGTTACAATGTTGAAAATTAGAAACAGTTAGTAAGCACACTCTGATACTAACAGGCTTGGTGCAACCGGACATGGAGTAATTATGAGGGTTTACTTGTGTTTTTCTCGTGGTTTTTGCCACCAGAATTTTGTTTATATTCCTGGACTTACTTTGTTCAATAATGAATAAGTTGGAGATAAGAGTCAGTACAACAACAGTGTATCACTGACTTCGCATGATATGGAGGGAACTAAACGCAAGATTAAGAAAAATTCCTTCAAAACAGGTAAAATCAAAGTTTTCTGACAACATCAACTTTTTATCCATGCATTTTGTTGAGATTTCTTTGCGTCGCAACCTGGTCGGATACAATCAGTCCAACTTGTCTCGGCCAAAAAATTGGCTTGATTTTCGGCATTTTTATATATCATCCTCTAAACAAAAATTTGGTCATGGGAATACTATATACTCTTCTTAACCAAGTTATTCTTCCCTTTCTTGCTTATATTTTAGACATAAGGGACCTTCACTGGGGGAACAACGTAGTTTACTGGAGGGACTAAAACAGGGACTACGCAGTCTATGGTATTAAAAGAGGCCCTGATTATATGTGTGTATTATAAAACTGGTCATTCCAGATTGTATATATTATAATTTTAGAAGGATTTTCACGAGATCTAGAAAAAGCAGAAGGCAGCAATGATATGATGCTTGTAACTTTTCTTGGAAATGAAAAAGAACAACGTAGAGTCAGAAATAAAAATACACTGGACGAAAAAGTTGGAGAAAAGAAAATTGGGCTGGAAAGAAAGAATTGTGATATTCAGATTAAGGAACTGAGCGCAGAGCAAAGATTGATAAAATCTCGATATGTAAATATGGTCAGAAGAACTAAAGCAAACGAAATCTCTATGAACGAAGGAAAAAAATAATACTTCCATACTTTCTTTGATTATGTTCAATACTGTAAACAATATTGATTTTAAAATAATGAGAACAAGAAAATATACCGGGTGGCCCAAAAAAAAAGTACTCCTGTTTGATTCGTAATAACTTCTAAACAAGTAAAGTTTTTAAAGAGAAATAACTTGCATTAAATAGAGGAAGGACTAACTTAGATTTTGATATATTACAGTTGTATTTAACTTAAAAATTCACGGAGATATTAATGTTAAAAATGGGGAGCATATTTTGGAATGTGTCTAAAATTAGCGAAAATCGGCATATCAAATATTAACTCCAGCGTTTGTTTGCTTAATGACATATTAGGCTAACTTGTATTTCAGCGAATTATCGTTAAGGTTTGTAAGGGATATGGCGTAGATTTAGACATCTTACATGTAAGTCTTAGCTCATTGTTTCCTGAAATATGAACGTTCGAAATTATGCAAGTATTTAATATTAGGTCTTTGCAAACTTAAATGTACATGAAAGACTGACCATGGAAGGCAGGCGCTTAAATTTTTCGTATTCTTAAATAGCCTAATTTTTTTATGTTTTTAATGGGTTCAAACAGACTGAGTAGATTATTTCTCGGTTAGAGCAGGATGAATATTCTTTATTGAAGGAAATAATATTGCTTTTTGCAAATACACATCACCGTATCAACGCTACTATTTTGTTACGTTTTGTTCCAAAAATGTTGCATGTCTCTGGGGAGTTGCTTAATTGTTATGTCTTATGGAGTTGTATGGTTTGATTGTGTTTCATATAATTCTCAGTTTACTCCATGAACTTGCCAAGATTAAGAAACGGCAAAAGAGTTTGGGTGTTCTTAACAAGATTTCAGAACGTTGCAGAAGTTAGAAGAGCTTCACAATTCCGTTGTGACAGCATGCCCTAATTCAGAACTACGAACGATCCAATGACGATCCTTCGCGATGCAGTGGTCTCATGAAATAAGGAAACGTATTTCGGACGAATGAATCTTGCTTGTATTTTGTAGATATAATAATACTTTGTTTCATAATAAACAATTTGTCAAGTGTCATTTATTTACTGGTAATAGTGCATGTTTCAGTCGGGCAAATCTTGATTAATATTTGATACGCCGATTTTTGCATATTTCAGACACATCCAGAAATATCCTCCCGAATTTAAAGATTAATATCTCCGTGAATTTTTAAGTGAAATACAACTGTAATATATCAAAGTCTAAGTTAGTCCTTCCTCTATTTGATGCAAGTTATTTCTCTTTAAAAGCTATACTTGTTTAGATGTTATTACGAATCAAACAGGAGTACTTTTTTTTGGGCCACCCGGTATGATCATTTCCAGCACTAAAAAGGACACTGCAATTAACCGTGGTGGAGCATTGGACGAAAGAAGCAAAGGTATTCGATTCCCAGCTAGCGCGCGAAAAGCAAGAAAAATCTCCAACTTTATGTGAACACATTCAGAAAACTTCATCTTAAATATGAAAATATATATTTTCAAAACCCAAGAAAATAATATGACTAACTGAACGCCAAATTTAAGATATAATTACTGTCGTTCCAATTGAAGTGTTGCTCAAATATTGATTCAATACATTACCTCGGGCTGACCAATTCATTTGATCAAGTTCCTCGAGATATTCATACACTTCCTGTGAAAGAGCCAAATTCCAAGTATTTGATCATTTCTGGTCACTTCCTTTCTATTTATGATTGGTTAGTTGCACAAACAACAAAGGTGATTGGTGCATTCAAACTATTCAACAGGAAGTTTACAATTATACAAGGAAGTGTATGAATATCTCGAGGAACTTGATGAAATGAATTGGTCAGCCCGAGGTAATGTATTGAATCAATATTTGAGCAACACTTCAATTGGAACGACAGTAAAATAATTAATATATTACTGAAAGTTGTTGTCATCGACTTCTACTATAATTAATATGTTACAATTGAAAAATCAATCTAATTACATTCTAATTTCAATTTAATTGTTTTTATTTCTAACCCGGCCATCTCTCAATTCATCATCTGCTTCATGATAGACCAGCAAAGTGCAGCACATCAGATCACGAGCTTAGTTCTTGTATAATAGCTTTGATAGCAAAATAGGTTGATGTAACAGCAGCCAAGAGGCCAACGACGATGATTTCATATAAAAATACTTTCATATGTTTAGAAATGTCAGTCTGTAGTTTCAGGTAAAACAAACACGGAAACACGAAAGTCAAAAGCGTTGTAGTTGAGGATCCAACAAGATTTAAAAACAGCCCAAAATGTGGAATACCTTGCGCCAAGGCGTGAATAAATAAAACAAGAAATGTACGGACCAGACAACTCTTCACCGTCACTCGACCTAAAAAATATAAAACATTTCAAATAATTTTGCAGGAATACGTTGAAAGATTAAAAAGTATTAATGATTACACTATGCATGCAGTGGGGTTACTTTCCAATTTCCAAAGTTAAAAAGGCCACTTTCAACGAATCATTACTGATAGAAAGTAGTGGGATTTTCAAAACACATGAAAAGACAATGGAACATTCTGATCACTGGATCATGACTGGATGGCATGGTGAACAGTAGGATTTTCAAAACAATGAAAAGAGAACATTCTGATCACTGGATCATGACTGGATGGCATGGTGAACAGTAGGATTTTCAAAACAATGAAAAGACAAGAACATTCTGATCACTAGATCATGACTGGATGACATGGAGAACAGTAGGATTTTCAAAACAATGAAAAGACAATGAAACATTCTGATCACTGGATCATGACTGGATGACATGGAGAACAGTAAGATTTTCAAAACAACGAAAAGACAATGAAACATTCTGATCACTGGATCATGACTGGATGACATGGAGAACAGTAAGATTTTCAAGACAATGGAACATTCTGATCACTGGACCATGACTGGATGGCATGGTGAACAGTAGGATTTTCAAAACAATGAAAAGACGAAAGGAACATGTGATCATTGGAAACGAAACATTCCGATCACTGGATCATGATTGGGTGGCATGGAGAACAGTGGGATTTTCAAAACAATGAAAAGACAATGGAACATCTGAATCTGATCACTGGATGGCATGGAGAACAGTGGGATTTTCAAAACAATGAAAAGACAACGAAACATTCCGATCACTGGATCATGATTGGGTGGCATGGAGAACAGTGAGATTTTCAAAACAATGAAAAGACAATGAAACATTCTGATCACTGGATCATGACTGGATGACATGGAGAACAGTGGGATTTTCAAAACAACGAAAAGACAATGAAAAATTCTGATCACTGGATCATGACTGGATGGCACGGAGAACAGTGAGATTTTCAAAACAATGAAAAGACAATGAAACATTCTGATCACTGGATCATGACTGGATGACATGGAGAACAGTGGGATTTTCAAAACAATGAAAAGACAATGAAACATTCTGATCACTGGATCATGACTGGATGGCATGGAGAACAGTGGGATTTTCAAAACAATGAAAAGACAATGAAACATTCTGATCATTGGATCATGACTGGATGACATGGAGAACAGTGGGATTTTCAAAACATTGAAAAGACAATGGAACATCTGAATCTGATCACTGGATGACATGGAGAACAGTGGGATTTTCAAAACAATGAAAAGAGAATGGAACATTCTGATCACTGGATCATGACTGGATGACATGGAGAACAGTGGGATTTTCAAAACAATGAAAAGACAATGGAACATTCTGATCATTGGATCATGACTGGATGACATGGAGAACAGTGGGATTTTCAAAACAATGAAAAGACAATGAAACATTCTGATCACTGTATCATGTTATTGCTATGCTAAGTGTCATGCAAAAGATAATTAACAACTACCTTTCGGGACATTCAACCATTCTTCAAGTTGTTGTGAGACAGGATTGACAACAATAACAAAACTGAACAACAAATGTGATGCTATCAATGCTGCAACACATTTTGTAACAGCGGACGTGGACGAGAGATTCATGAGGATGTTGGTCTGAACGTCATCCCCAAATGCAAAAAAGCCCAAGATAGAGACAGGTAGGTACATGGCAAGGACAGTAAGGTATGCCATAATGATTGAAGAGTTGAACAGACTTGGTTGTCTCATGTCACATTGGATGGTGGGAAATGCAGCCGTTCCACCAAATGAGAATGCTATAGCACCAAATGCTAGATGGAAAATACAAAGATATGTCTTGTGAAACTCATCAATAATTCATCATTAATATATCTGATACAGAATCATGCTGATTTATATAAACTTTAAGTTCAATTTTCTCACTAAATGTCATTAATTTATTTCAACATTGAAGAATACAAATATTCTCATCGAGACATTTCATATTCGGCTTGAGTTTGTATATCCAATATAACACTTCCACGAATGTTGTAATATTACAAATAATATTATTACATACCATATTATTACAAATAATTAGGTAAAATGGACACTATAACACCCTGCTTTGTTATCTTAATCTAATAATAAATCAATTAATTCTTAACCCATTGAGCACCAGCACCCTTGACAAGTAAATTTGTCTGGCAATTAGAAAAAGCAAAATGATAACATAGAATGAATTACACAGTCGTAAAAATGCTCAGGTTGTTGCAATATTGATGAAAACAGGATTGAACGATATTTTGCTGCCCACATTGTTCACAGTTGTCAACAACATTGAACAATGTTGGTACACCCGATTCAGGCTCAACAATATTGTTCAATATTGTTGACAAGTGCTAACAACGTGGGCAGCAAAACATTGTTCAATCCTGTTAAACAGTGGGCTCAGCATTTTTAGCTGTGTAGAGTACAATGCAACTCAATGAATTACTGTAAGCTGCAATGTACCCTACTGCAATCTGTCTAACAGCAGATGATTTTGCTTGTCAGGGGGAGAGCAATGGTGTTCAAAGTCAAGTTACCTGAAAAGAATGAGCTACTTGTAACATGTCTGTGTTGAGCAATGCCATTAAAATCAACTCCAATCTTGATCACAATCAACAAACAAGCGACAGATGTTGCCATGATCGCAAACAAAGCAACAGGCCAGAAATTCTTGGGCGTCCCAAGCCATGTCATAGGCAACAGTGCTGCTGTACATATTACAAGCCAAACACGATATTCACTTTTGGCTGAGATTGATGAAATATTCAGATCAATCAGACTGTTCAAGTTCTCTGAGGCTAACAAGATGAATACTGTACATGCACCTGTAAAGAGAGAAAAAATGTTAACAGATTTTACGATTAAGTTGCATAATTTGCCCCCAAATTTATTATTTTACTCTGTCTAATGCCAGACAATTTTACTTGTCAAGGAGAGTGCTGATACTCCATGGCTAAATTACAATAATAACCCTAACCCTTTCCCTAATCCAAACCCCCTAAGCCTGTCTAAAAATATATAGTAACTGTTTCTAAATTGCGACTCATATGGGTGGTACAATGGTTTGAACTGTTGGTGGCATTGTCGTGCACTATAATTTCTATGACACATGTTTGATTTGTGCCATTTCTATGCAATGGCGTAGCCATGCAGCCTGACAATTTGGTCCTACTATGCAAATTTCATCATGATTCATTTCTTTAGAAATTGATTGTGTTGACAGTTTATAAACATCACCTCATGACAGGTGCTTGATTTGTGACATTTCTATGACAAACAGGTGTTTGATGATTGGAATATGACTTTGTGGATGAGTATAAAGCAAGTTGGTTTTATTGTCATTCACACTCACCAATTAAAGTAGCATTAATACAGAACTGCACGACATATTTGCCAATCTTGCCGTAGGTATGAAAGCCTATTGCAGGGTATGGATATCTAACATGTTCTTGATATTCACGAAAATCACGTCTTAATATGAGCCAAGACTTGCTCAACACTATCCCACATGTTCCAGACAATATGCCGAGTACAATGATCAATACTACACCAATCCATCCTGAATTCGCGACAGCATTTGGTAAAGCAAGGACACCACTTCCTGCCATTTCTCCCACTATAAACAAGGCCGCAGTGAAGGCCGTCAAACCATGAGGCAAGCCAGGTTCATCGTCACGATTTACAATCAGAACATCGTCTTCACATTCAGCCACTGGTGTATAGAGATGTTCTTTCTCTCTTGCATCTGACATCGTTAAGTCTTTTACCATTTCTACGTCGTGTTTCTCAACCACTTTGCATCACGAGAAGAACAAAGGAATGTTGCAATTTCGGCATATGATTTCGGTAATACTGTGGTGGGAATAAAGTCCCTATGCGGGATTAAACACCACGAGAAGTTATTCCCGCGCAAATACGGTAAAAATGTTGCACAAAAATATACCACTAAAGAGCGCGTTTGTTTTTTCGAAAATATTGATTCTTGGGGTTTGATTCGCACTTTGCTTCGCTAATTATAAGGCCTTATAAACCTAATATTGAAAATGAGTTTGTATTTGCGCGACAATGATAAACATCGTATTATTAGATTGGGCGCGTGCAATAATTTTCCAAGCTAACGTTTGCTCTAATAGTCAACTAAAACCCACGTTTAGAAATGATTTGTCGTCGTTTGTTGTCTTGTTCACTACCAGGACGTTTTGGCGGCATGACGCGCTGCAACTGTTTTTCCCCAACATGAAATATGATACACCAATGGTCGTTAATCCTCATCTTTATTCAATTAAAAATAAGCTTAATTCCTCGAGTGTCATATTTGAAGCCAGCGTTTGACAAAATGGCGCAATCAAAGCTGATCTTCGCCATAATTTTGGTCACCGTTTTGCTTTTTGTTGGTGGGTTTCTGATCGGATATTTTACAGGTCCAGACAATGGTAGCGACAGTGATGATGAACCAAAGAGATCAGAGACATCGCGTTTTAAAGCCCACAACAAGCTTTACGAAGTGCTGGACGCCGAGAGAATCCGTCAATATTTGAGGTATGATGGTTCACTTATAAACACTATCGCGGCTTATCAGAGTGAGAAAATAATGTAGAGAAAAATCAATACAACTCAGAGATGTAGTTCATTACTCATCAGGTGATCAATACTTGTGAAGTTGACCATTTGCGCTATTACGTTGTACTAAACGCCCTCGCTGAAACACGCGGGATGTTTTACACATTATGGCAAAATCGCAATGCACTACACCACAGTCAATAAAAAAAGATATATTTTTATATATATTTTGAAAATAAAGTTTTCCGTGTTTCCGCTGGGTAGACTACTACTACTAGACATCGTTGCATGGCTTGAAGAGCTTTGTAATGCTAATCAAATTCAGATATGTACAATTCTGCACAAATGAACAATATACGGTTGTTGACTTGTTGTGACAGTATTGGCCTGTAATCTTTGTTCTTACGTAATCGAGTCCGTATGGTAACAACAATCTATAATCGGGCATTTTCGTGAAACTAGACAAGCTGTCAACATGATATAAACTTTGCCTCGTTCCCAGACGCTATAAAAAGATTCCACATACGAGTCACTATATAAAAGGTTTACACGAAGCAGTGCATCTCGAGCAGCACAGGAACCCTCACACCCCATCCTCCTTTGCGCGCTTATGACGCACTACTACATGTAAACCTTTTATATGGTCACTCGTATGTGAAATCTTTTTATAGTGCTTGTGTTAATGCTCGGTCTCTAAGAAACAAAACAGCAGATGTTGTTGACCATGTTGTGAATTCTAATATTGACATTTGTGTTTTTACTGAAACCTGGCTGAAAGATGTTGACTCGGTTACGATTGCCGCTCTTTCTCCTAATGGTTACTGTTTTCAAAATTCGCCCAGAGAAAATGATAGATCAGGCGGGGGAGTTGGAGTTATGTACAAGAGTATAATGAGAACTAAGTTGATGGACGCTAATCAGTTCAGATCGTTTGAATTTTCTGAGTGGAATGTAACAATTCAAAATCAAGTTATTAAACTTGTTGGTGTGTATCGTCCGCCATCCTCTACTAACTATCCTCAACCCGTGAGTTTGTTTTTTGAGGAATTTTCTACCTACCTTGAAAGTATTGTAATATCAACTGAGAGGTTACTTATTTCAGGCGATTTTAATTTCCACGTAGAATCTACTGACGATACTAATGTCAAAAGATTCTGTGAGCTTTTGGAAACATTTGGTTTAACCCAACATGTTGCCTGTCCAACTCATACTTCTGGACATACTCTAGATCTTATAATATCTAGATCAATTAATGATGTGATTATAACTGAATTAGAATCTACGTTGGCTTTATCTGATCATTCGTTCATCGAGTGTAATTTGAATATGCCTAAGCCAAATTTTGTTGTTAAGGAACTTCGATTCCGTCAGTTGAAAAGGATAGACATTCCCATGTTCAAAAACGATATTTCCGGGTCTGAATTATGTGTCAATTCCTTTTCGGATATTGATGAGTTTACACGTTGTTATGATATGACTTTGTTAAATCTTCTTGATAAACACGCTCCTCTTAAGACGAAAAAGATGGTTATGAGACCTGTTGTATCTTGGTTCACTGATGATCTTAAAAAGCTTAAAGCTTAACGACGGAAATGCGAAAGAAAAATGCTTCAATCTGGTTGTTCCCATGATAAAGAGCTTTATTATAAGACTAGAGATAAATACAGTGCTCTTCTTCGTAAAACAAAGACTAGCTATTATTCTGATTTAATTGACAAATGCTCAGGCAATTCTAAGAAATTGTTTCGTGTTATCAATTCATTGTCCAAACAGAAGTCATCTGAAAGTTTACCACCTTATGAGGATCCGTTGATTCTGGCGAACGAATTTGGAACATTTTTCGGTCGAAAGATTGAACTTATCAACGATGAAATTAATAAGATTGATGTTAACCCAATAACTACTGAACATCGTTTACCTGAAGTATTGCTTAAATCCTTTTCTGCTGTGTCGCAAGATGATATACGAGGAGTTATTTCGAAAGCATCAAATGCCTCTTGTCAACTTGATCCAATACCAACTTATTTGCTTAAGGATTGTTGTGATGTTCTATGTCCGATAATTACAAAAATGATCAACATGTCGCTGGAGAAAGGAATAGTTCCTGAAAATTGGAAATTGGCACTTGTAGATCCCCGTCTTAAGAAACTTGGTATGGATTTAGTGTTTGAAAATTTTAGACCTGTTAATAATCTTCATTTTCTTGCAAAGGTAGCTGAGAAAGTTGTCATGTCGCAATTAGTTAATCATTGTAACGAAAATGCACCACTGCCTGTCAGTCAATCAGCATATCGACAGTTCCATTCAACTGAAACTGCGCTGCTCAAAGTGCAGAATGACATACTTATTAATATGGACAACGAAGAGGTTACGTTGCTTGTTATGCTCGACATGAGTGCTGCCTTTGACACTATAGACCATAATATTCTTACTGATATCCTCAAGAATGATTTTGGAGTAGTGGACAGCGCACTTCAGTGGTTTAGATCGTATCTGGCTAATAGAAAGCAGCAAGTTGTCATTGATCGGTGTAAGTCGTCCGAGTTTATGGTTGCTACTGGAGTTCCCCAAGGCAGCTGCCTGGGTCCTGTTCTATTTTTACTTTACGTGTCTGGCCTTTCTGAGATTATTTCTAAACATCTGCCCTGTCATCATGCTTATGCAGATGACACACA